GCCCACCTATAAAAGATGATATGAATCGAACATCTTGTGTAACAATTAATTAGTTAGATTTCAATAACATCCCTGGCGGAAAAATTTTACGAAAAACTACATAGATTGAGACAAGATCTTAGAAATTTTTGGTTTTTTCATAAATATTCGTAGTAGAACGTAAAGCGGCGTTGTTTGAAACACCAAGAAATCCTTCACCTTCAAACAATGATTCTATGTCCCACTACGAATATCTACGAAAAACTAAGAATTTCTAATTTCAAATAAATCTCACTCTACATTCTACTATAAATATCTGAGAAAAATTAAGAATTTCTAAAATCTTGTCTCAATCTATGTAGTTTTTCTGTACTCTTTCGTAAACATTTTTTTCCGCCAGGGATTGTCAAACGTATACAAAATTTAGTCTTTTTATTAGACTTTTGGAAATCGACTTCTCGGATATATGGCTTGGATAATACCTGTAATGGTAGCTGTATCCGCTTTTGGTGGATTGAGCGTTCATATCATGACATCATCCAGAATGTGCTTCGTCGGTGCTAGAAATGGTCATTTTCCCTCGATGTTGAGCCACATCAATATGACCAAATTGACACCTATGCCTGCCTTAATATTTCTGGTGTGTACAACGCTAAATTATGTCTGCTAATTAAATTTTTAAGGTTTTTCTCTCTTATCTCTCTTATTACAGCTATATTGAATTATGACCTTAGGAGAACAAAAATTAAAAGATTTCTTTCTTATTTTATACGTTAAAATAAATTCTTTTCTTTCTTTATATCATAAATTAATCTTTTTGCATTTGCAGTGTATTTTATCTCTCATAATGTTATGCACGGGTGATATATTTGTACTGATTACATACTGCAGTATAGTAGAATCATTCTTCATTATGATCTCGGTAGCTGGAATTTTATGGCTGCGTTATAAAAGACCTAATATGAAACGACCAATCAAGGTAATGTATTTCATATACATAAAAGTATTAAACAATATATATAGGGTATTATATAAATGGCTACCACTTTTTACTTTGTAAACTAACAGAGACCTAATAAATATACGTACTCTCAAATCAAACTTTATGTAACTCTTTATTTTAGCTACGAGTCAAGCTTAACTTGTAGTTCCGTTGTTTTTATTGTTTTAATTTTAATTTTAAATTATTTGAGCCATTTTGTATCAAGTTTAAAATTTAAAAATTATAAAGGTCTTTTTGACTCAATTTAGTACGCGTTATCTGTGTATAAAGTGTGTGTGTATGTGCGTGTGCGTGTGTATGTGTATGTGTGTAGATATATATACATATAAGTCATTGAAATTTCTCTTCAGATACCATTATGGATACCTATACTGTTCGTAGCATTATGTGCTTTTCTGGTTATTGTACCATGCTATCAAAGACCATATGAAGTTGGTATGGGCGCTCTGATCACTATGTCTGGTATACCCGCATATGTCATCGGTGTTGCTTGGAAAAGCAAACCATTGTGGTTCCAAAAAGTTAACAGTTCGTAATTCTTATAAATGCAATTGATTAAGTTTATTCATTATTTATACATTTATTTAAAATTTTTTACATTGCTTTTCTTATGTCATTAAACAATTCTAAACTTTCTTTACAATCAATTCTAATAACAAGTGATAATGTTTTTATTAATATTGTAATAATATTGCTATTTGCGTATTCAAGTAACAAATATAAAGTAAGAAAACAGCACAATAGAGATTATAAATTTACAGAGAAAAGAATGAAAAAAATAGAAAGGTTCAGAATAGTATTGTTTAATTATGTATTTCATTTATTTTTCTATTTTATTTTCAGTTAAAGCTACTCACGCTATACAGAAATTATTTCTGTCTGCAAGGGAAGAACTTGAAATCAATTAAGTAAATGGCAATTCTACTTCATCATTCAATTCAATTCAATCGAATACGATATTATATTTGCCAAATTATTTTGAGATTTCAAAAAAAGAAATTTATGATTTTATATGTAGGAATCAAAAATTAAAAAATATCAATAATCTAAAAAAAGGCAAGAACATATAATTTCAAAGGATAATGGATATAACTACAGAGAATCCCAAAGGTATTTATTATACTTATCTAAAAATTACATAACAGTGTAATGAAAAGAAGATTGAAAAATGAAAGAATATTACGTGATGATCTGTACTGTATATAATTAATAGATCTGATAATTGCATTTTGATTTTCAATATGCCAAAGGAGTGTCTTTTGTTTTTGTGTGCTACAGTATTATTAATATTATTCTTTATTAATTATATTGATCTACATTTTTATGCTATTATATATATTAAGTATTTATAATATACTAATATGTGAAGAAGTTTTATAAGCAGCTTTATATTGCAAAAGCTGTTTTAATGAGTCAGTAGAAACATCACAGTAGAAAATATAAATGTATATATGAAATTTGTAATTACAAAAGAAGATTGCATTGTAAAATATCCCTTTCTTGCTTAAGCTTCCTACTCTCTTCGACTTTCTAATATCCTATCAGGCTTGTCCAAAACTTGGCAAAACGCTTCCACCATCTCGGTAGAGCGAAATACAAATGATTCCGTATAAAACGTTCTTTAATTTACCTCCGATTAATTATTTCGGCTAAAGAACTCTCTTGGCGAGCTGGCCAACTTCATTTCGCTTTGTGCCGAAAACACAGAACGTTACAACTTTTTGCGCTCAGTACTTTCGCTTTCTCTCTTTAATACTCGATCATATGTTTATTCTATTTTAAATACGAAAACTTTGAGGGATTTCAAGCAGACCTATTGTACTTTTCCATTCTACTTTTTCATCTACTTCTTTCCATTAAAAGAATTCTAATTATTGTTAAACTTGTTGAAATGATAAAAACAACAAAACTCTTAAATCATTTTTAAAGTTGTTATGATAAATATTATTGCACATTTTATTATAATCTAATATCAATGTAATTTTCAATATTAAATTCAAATAATACAATAAAATTTCATGATAGGATGACCAACAATAATTCATTTCATTTAAGATTTGAATTAAAAGCCATTATTGTATATTCTTATATGATCAATAATACTGATTTAATATCACTGATCTGTATTATTGATCATGTAAGGTCACCTTATAACAACAAAATACAAAATATAAATTGGCTATGTTTAGCAGAATGATTATTTTGTAACTTTAGAAGTTTTCTTCCTGCTAATTAGATTATATTTTTAGATCTAGAAAAATGCTCCTCTCAGTAAACAATTATAAAACGGCAAAACTATCGTGTTCTGCTGAATGCAACCATATTTATTTTCATTAAGATGATTCTTTAGTTAATCGAGTTACCGTAGAAATGTCTAATTTTTTTATATAGTGAAGTTGAAGTAACGAACTTGATATATGCAAAATTCTGGAGTAGGTTAACAATGAAATGAGAGAAAAAAAGAATGTTTAAAATGTAACTTTTAATATATAACTTAGTGACAGGTAAGGAAACGTTTCTTTAACTGACTATACACAAATATTATCATAGATTTCTTTTAAAAAACGAGATTATAGTTTAAAAAATTACGATTGTAATGATTACAAAACAGTAATGGGTTAATGACCATTCTGAAAAGATATTTCTATGTGTAAACTTGCATACAATCTCGAAAAAACATATAATCTCATCTTGTTTTCGTTTGATGAAGATGCAGCTTTTAATTTACTATTGTATGTGTCATACTATTTTATTAAGATATATATATATATAGTTTTAATATTATGCAGATAGTTATGATTTTGTGTGGGCCCTGAGGCACTCCAAATTTTCAATGCTTTACTAAATAACTATCTCAATATTATAAATAATTAGGTACAGTGATGCGCAAAAGTTTCTGGCCAGTGATATTTTGTACTCTAAATAAAAAAAGCCTGACACAAAATCATAATCGGATTAATGATTACCTATAAAATGTAGGTAACGAAATCTTGTACATTTGATCTTGTAATACCTGATAATGATTAAAATTTTATCAGGTTTTTTTTTATAAATCACGATAAAAAATGTTACTAACTGAAAATTTTTGCATGCCACTGTATGTATATATTCACATAAAGAACAGATTTTAAAATGAATGTGAAAGGATTAGCTTACCTTATTCATTAGTTTTCATTCATAACAGTATGTTAACTATAATGGGCTTTCTACAATAAGTCATTAGTAATAGATCAGAAGCAAGAAGCGAGTTGTAAGCGAATCAGTAATATGTAATAAGATACCAATGAGTCAGTAATCAATAATTGCATAGAGATTATATTATATTTCTTACGATTTAAAATTAGGTTACGTTAAAACTGACTAATCACATTATATATGATTATCTGCCTTAAAAATTATCCCTTCTAATTGGTTGAAATATTATGACGTAATAATCTAATACAGATTTAGTCTGGATGTAAGTTTCCTAAAATTTATGACTTAGAATAAAGCTATTCAGAATAGATATTTTTTGCTTAAAATGTGTGAATATTTATGCTTATTACCCTTTTTATTCTTCATTTCATTGTTTTGTTGTAGCAATGCTCTGTCTCAAACACGACATTAGTTTGAAATCGTTAAAACTTTTTGACCTATATCACTCTCTATATTTAAAAGTATTCTATTATTAATATTATAAGATACTATTATTCATAATAGATTGAACTCTAAAAATACATTATAAATAATAATATTAATAACAGAATATTTTGAAATATATTGAGGCAGGTCAAAAATTTTTAACAATTTCAGACAGGTCGTCTTTGAGAATCAGCGTTGCGCGCTATGATAAAACAGCAATAAAGTAACAAGTAGGAATGGTAATAGGTATGAACAACAATTTTAACTTCAAGCCAAAAGTATCCATCCTGGTTCTGACTTATAATTCTGACTTACTACTAACATGATATGAATGGTCATTAACAGCTTATTGTAAGAAGCCTGTAATTTTATATTACTTTTACCAAACAACAGAAAATAGATACTGAAACACATAATTCCGAACATATAATTCCATTCCTATTATACACATTTGATGCAATCTTATTAACATATCATGTTAATCATATCATCTTGTTAATCATACATATATTAATGAATGTCTTCTGGATTGAACATTCCCTGTAAACAATTGTAACAAATAAGATTTTCCAAGAGAAAAGAATAAATGTGTTAAATTGAACGATTATCCACTATCGTTCAATTTCAATCATAATAAATAAATAAATAAAATAAAATGCATACTTTAGCACGTCTCAAGATAGAATCTTTGCTGGCATCATATGGATGATCTTTACTTGGAATTTCCAATACAGCGGGTATCGGTTGAGTATGACTATCAATTACGTGACGAATCATTTCAGCTACCTGCGATAGAGAACCACATGTCAGATTACAGAGAAATCAATACAAAGAATCATTGTTTTTAATTAAACGAAATTACTTTTATTACCATAAACAGAGTACAACTTAATAGGTCTGTTGCTAGCACTTTTTACATTTAGAATCTTTGCTCTCTTTTCTCAGTACCCAAATATATATTTTTCATTCTAATTGCAAAAATTTTTAAGAATAGCAACGTAAGCAGAAATTCCTAATGTTAGAACTTAAAAAAAATTTTTTAATTACCGATGAAATAATTATCTTTGTTACTTACATTCTGGTTAATAAGAATGATGTCAATGTCATCACGCTTGATAAATCGCTTAAAAGTATCCTCTACTTCACTTACTGCTGTATCTATAAAGATCATTTTTTTTTATTAATGTACAATATATCTTAAGTAATGTACATTATCTTAATATAATCGTATACAGAATATTTTTCATAATAATTATAATTATGATTATATTATATTTCTTTATAGAGCGAAACAACAATAAAGAATAATAGATTATCTAATCAGCAATTAGTTTGTTGCTTTTTTTTTGGAGGAATAATGAGGAATACTTAGCTGTTGCAAAAGTATTTGCATCATAATTATGCGACTAATACATACTTTTGTCAACAACCATAAAGTTAGCCTGACGATGTTTATTTATCTCTCCAACTCCACCTAGTAAGAAGCCTACACAAGTATCCTGAAATAAGATAAATGTTCAGAAGTACTACATCAAAAACCAATTTTTTCAATAATTAACAAAATTAGTTAAAAAAAGATATGTAAACAATGTTTTAAAAAGAGGTTTTATAATTCATATAGAAAAAACTGGATAATTGTATTGCATATATTTAAAATATCAAATATCAATTTTATGTTAATTAAATATCATTCACAGTAATTCAAATCTTTCACCTTACTAAATTGATGAGTCTGATATATAATATTAAAAATGAAAATTTTATGAAAAAAATTAGCAAAGACTCTGGTAAATATTCAAAAGTACTACTCCATCAGAAAACATGGTTTTTTTTTTCAGTAATTAGCAAAACTAGTAAAAAGACAAGTATACAATATTTTAAGAAAGAACTTCTACCTTTACTATAATTTTAAATTAATTAAGCAGTGAATATGTATACATTATAGATACAAGTTTTGAGTTGCACTCAAATTATTTTCTGCTATAATTAAAATCACATGCAGAAAATACATGCAATTGCAAAGTTTTTCTCATAAGAACAATAAGTTTTCTCTTAAAACATTGCATATAAGTCTTTTTATAATTAGTTTTAATAAATACTGAAAAGAATAGGAGTAATACTTCTGAACATTTACTAAAAATACTCTCAATTATAAAGATAGAATAAAAGATTGCAAAATTCGTGATATTTAGTATTGCAGAATCATTGAATGGAACAAGTATATATGTTAGTTTTAATAACTACAGCAATCTAACAGTTTATACTGTTTATAATGTATACTATAATTTAATCATACATATTATTATGCAGCTGCTGACTGCGAATACCAATGAAACAAAGTATGAGAATAAAATGTCAAACTCACGATTCTCCATTGGATCAGAATCTTTAAAGATCACCTCTGATCAGGTTATAATTAAACATTTACATTTACACTAACCTCGTCGCCAATCACCGCTAAAAGTTTACCCTTTCCTGCAGAATGAAGCGTCATTGTGTTTGTCTTGAAAATAAATTAAATCTCGCAAAAATAGTTTTCGCCCAAAATATATTCTAATGTCGCTTGCACGTCAGCTGACGAAACGTATAGCTTGTCACGTGCTGCATTAGGTCTGTTCGCGTTGCTTGCACTTTTGGCATTCGACATCTTCGCTTTCTCTCTTTTTAAAACAAATATGTATCTATCTCTATTTTAAGTGCAAAAATATTTGGGGATTTCGTGCAACGCGAACAGACCTATTGTCACATTTACCAGTGTTGCCGCGTCTCTGAAAAATTTAATTACTAGATTCTATTCCAAAAATTACCAGTTTTCCCGAACCTGAGATGACTGATAGTGATGTCATGAGTGATGTTATTCAAGAATTGTCATTTTCTTAATGATCTTAATCAGTAAAAAAAGGTTGTGCTATCATCGTTGAAAGGTATATTAAATTAATCTTATTTGTATTCTTAATACTTAAACTTTTTGTTGCTTGGTTAGAAAAAATATGCAATTATAACCTAGAATTGAATTAATTAATCAATGAATTGTGTATCAAATTCTTATAAATATCGCAATATCTTTTTGACAATTATTCAGAAGACGTTCTTTCCTTTCAATTTCAATGAAATTATGCATTCGACGCGATTTTTAAAACGAAAGAATCTGGCAGTAAAATGTGCTCAGTCCCGAGACGCGAGAAAGTTTTTATTTATCGTTGAAGTTAACTATTGTTGACTATTAGGTTAAGAAATTCGTAACATCGATGGCATAGAAGCCTATTCTACAATGTACTCTTTGTTTCCTGTTTCTGGTTTTTTAACTTTTGCTTTTTTCTCGTTCACAACCATTCTATTAACAATTGTATTTTTTGCTACGTAATTTCTTATTTCTTTCGAAGTTCGTTAACTTTTATCTCGGGCGATATAAAACAAAAAACCGGATAAGAAGCCGGAAAAAACAAGATGTAAAAAATAACAAAAGACTAGAAACAAAAAGCACATTGAACAGGCCAGAGGGTTGTACAAATTCTCTGTTTTATAAACAAATTCTCTACTTTAAAAACACAAATTATTTTCTGTATAATTTTTGCTTTTACAGTACAAAAATGCATCGAATGAGCATTATTTTATTAATTGAAAGTGAGGAGCATCTTCTAAATAATTATCATTTTTTTTAATAATGAAAAAAATAAATACATAAGTGATTATACACTTTTATATTATAAAAAATAACATAAATATCTATAATCAATTTTTATCTAATTTTGATAATTTTAAAATTTCCTCTTGGCATTGAATCCCAATTATTTATGGGTTAAAATTAGATAAATATAAATTGGAAAATTTTTAGTAGAAAAAACAGCTGATAGTGATAATTAAAGATAGAAAAGTAATTCAATATTTATAATGCAGTTACTTTTTCAATTTAACTTCATTTCTTTTTCCATTTATATCTGTAAAAATGTAACTTAATTACATTTTTGTAGTTAATTAAAGCCTAATCTACAATATGCATAAGCCTACAGTTATAAGTGGTTGTAATTGCACGAATTGACTAATTAAGTAGAATATAAAAAGAATATTCCACTATAATTGGTTAATTCTTGCACCTAAAACCACTCATAACTACACTCATGGTTGTTGTAAAACATTAGGCATTAGTTAAGATTATATATGTCTGTTTTGTTGTCATACAACAAATTTTTCAAACTTGTTGATTGCTTTAAGATAGATCTGACAACCTCTTTATCCTATAGCTAACTTATATGCTTGAAAAATTTTATATAATTATAAACAACAAAGAACTTTATAAATATAATATTAATTTATAAACTAATTTGGTAGTTATTTTTAATTAATTTATATCAACTTATTATACAGGATGTTCCGAATTTAAATGGCCAAACTTCGGGAGCGTATAGGGAATCGATAAATTAAGAAAAAAAGGTCCTTTAGAAATATATTTGTTTTTGTTTTGTTTTGGAAAAATTTGCAAAAAAAGAATTTTTATTTTTATTTTTGTATTTATTTATTACTTATTCATGTACACTTATTTATTTACGTTATCACTTTTTAAATGTAGATATTGTTAAAAATGTTGATTTCTTGCAGCAATATAAGAGGTCAACATGTTTTCATTTTTTTATCCGTAATAGATGCATTACATCTAGTATGGACAGCTCGTGTTATAGCCAAACACTGATGCTATTTTCTGCAGTCAAAATTCGGTCTCTCAATCACTCTCTTGAATTGACTGGCGACGAATAAACTTTCTGCTTCAGGAGCCCCTCACACAAAGAAGTCCAGTGGTATTAGATCAGGTGATCGAGGTAGCCAAGATACTACTTCTTCACATCTTGTCCATCAGTAGCCCGATGAATATAAAAATTTGTAATTGAGCTTTGTAATGTGACAAATTGTATTTAGTCACATTAAAAAAATGTAATCGTGTATTCATTCAAAATTTTAGATTTTCAAAAATATTTATTCAAACAAAAAAACTATGATTATTTAACGAATATTTATATTTATTTAAGTAGTTAAACAAAATATAAACTGAAAAAGAAAGCTCCAATAAGCAATCGTTATTCTTTAACTATAGTTTTGATGATTTTAAATAAAAAAAAAATGAATTTTATTTATTTTTGTCGTTATAATGTTTAGATTTTATGAAGAAAACTTAGAAATTAAGAAAAATATTTTAAAAAACAATACATTTTTTATTTGTAAGTACAATCTATTTGATATGACATATAATTTTACATAAGTCTTCATTTAAAATAATATATAATTTTATATAATAATAAATTTTTATTTGAGATGACATCATTTTTATCCTCAATTTGTTTAACTATATACCGTGTCACTAATTTGCCATCTGTTATCACTGATGGATTCCTTTGATAGTTTCATTGTTTTTACAGATTTCTGTTCTCTTGTAGGCTTGCAAATTATGTGCAAATAATACAGAGTAGAAGTAATATGAAAACGAAAATATTTTTAATCATATTAAAAAAATATTCATTCAAATGGGATGAAAAAAGTATTTATTTATTTCTTGACGAATAAAAAAAAGTGTTTTTGAATGGATATTTGTATTCAGTTTTTATTTATTTATTCGAATATTAAGTGTATTCATCGAGCACGCTCATCAATATGGATAATGTCTGTTTAGCAAAGTTCGAATAGTTTTGTTATAATGACCTAGATATCCATCAAGTTAAAACCATATTTCAATTCGTTGTCGCAGGTGAATGTCTTCTAAATATAATTAGAGATCGTTCTCCAACAAATTTGTATATTTGTCTGCATTTAATCTGTCGAATAAAAAATTATGGTTCCAGTAGTAGAGACTGATTCCAAATTCCGAGCCAAACATTAACAGCAAATTAATGTTGAAAACTGTATTCTCTAACAGTCCTGGGATTTTCATGAACTCATACATGACAATTTCTTTGATTAATAATTCCTTTTCTTGTAAAGTTTCATCCATCCACACCAAACGAAGCACATCTCTTAAAGAACTTTTTTTCTTGATTTATCGATCCTCTACTCGCTCTCAAAGTTTGATTATTTAAATTCGGGACACCCTGTATAATTTATTCGCCAACGTATGAGCTGAAAATAAAGTATTAAATAATCAGTGATTATTTTTCATGATTAGAACGTATGTATCTTTATTCATCATCACATTCTGTAAATATCTCCATTACAAGAATTACATTACCTTACAGTACATACATCAACTTATCTTATTGATTTTATAATTTTGATTCCAATGTATATATTAATTTATTATAAATAATATAGAGCGTAATTGAATGTTTAATAAATAAAATAATCTAGTAATGTTATATAAAAATGTATAATCTTATATTTAAAATAACAATGCATAGAAATTATAAAAAAATTAACAAAAGAGATTAACTGAAAAATAATAAAACTGTAACATTTCAGAAAAGGTAACTAGTTACTTTTTGAAAGAAAAATACTGTAACTAGTTAGTTTTACAAGTAACTTTCTCAGTCATACTGAAAATACATCAAAAATGTTCTCAAGTGGACCAAACTATACAAAGTTGAAAACGCATTTGCGTCTAGCAATCAATCGGTTGAAATTGCTAGAAAAGAAGAAAACAGAATTGGCGCAGAAGGCGCGTCGCGAGATTGCTGATTTTATTGCCACTGGTAAAACTGAGCGTGCTAAGATCAGGGTAGAATATATTATTCGTGAGGACTACATGGTGGAAGCGATGGAGTTGTTGGAGATGTACTGCGATTTGTTGCTGGCACGTTTTGGTCTTATCCAGCAAATAAAGTCAGTATTGTGGCTCTATGGTCGGTATTCATAGTCTGCTCTTATTTTAAAACTGCTTTAAGTAATATCTTAAGATACTAATACAACTTCGTGATTGTGACATCTTAAGATTGTACTTAAGATAGTCTTAAATATATAATAATGTACATATATTACAATGGCTGCGTTCAGCAGAACGTTTATTTTGCAACTGTTGGAAGTTTTCTTCGCGTTGATTGGATCATACTTTTGGATCTAGAAGAATTATATTTCAGCAATCATAAAACGGTTGTACAACAGTTGAATACACCCAGTCTGCTGAATACACCCAGTGACTTGTAATGATAATTTATAAATATAATATAAATCAATGACAACATATGTTTTCAAATTTTCTTCGAACTTTTTGACAAACAAAATCCATTAATAATTCATTAATTAAAATAACAACTTACTTTAAAGCAATTTATTATTCAGGTATATACAATTTTAATTTATTATCTATTCAGAAATCTTGACGACGGTTTGGCAGAAGCTATATCAACCATTCTTTGGGCAGCGCCTCGCATCCAGACAGATGTACAGGAAATCAAGGTGATAGCGGATATCTTGACATCCAAATATGGTAAACAGTATACAGAAGCTTGTCGAGAAGAAGCAATTCAAACCATATCAGAAAAATTGAAGCATAAAATGAGCGTGCAATCACCATCAAAATTGCTTGTGGAGAAATATTTAATAGAAATCGCCAAGAATTACAATGTGGAATATGAGCCAGATCCACAAATAATGGCAGAAGCCCAGGATGCGATGTTAATAGACATAGGAGGGGAATCAAGGAACAATCTGGACACAGCCAGTGGAGGAATACCTCATCCTCCTGGCTTCATAGGTTATCCACAAGCACCTCTATTACCCGATCCTGGATTTCATTCGAGCGTGGTAATTTAAATCTATTTTTGTTTAAAAATGGAAGAATATAATTTTTAGAAATTGGCAAGCTGAATTTATGAAATTGTTTAATAATGATTTTTAATAATTTTGATCATTGCATCATTAAAAATATTATGTTCCAGGATTCGGAGAAAGATATTCATACCATAGGATTTGTATCCCCAACATCTCCACCTTCTGTTGAAAAGGATCAGAATACTTCTTTCAATCCCACTACACTTTCATACAATATACCTCTAGACAATGCCAATTCGAACAAACCCGTAAGTAACTTGTGTTTATTGTCAATAATTTCTCAAATTATATTTTTCTATTAATATTAATAGTGATAATAAACAATTTTTTTATAATATTTTAGTTGTAATATTTTAAAAATCATTAATTATAGGAAGATTTACCACCACCATACCAGTCTAACTTCCCACCTGATTTAAATAAACAGGTGAAGTTATAGAATTTTCATTTTTATAATTTTTAAATAATTATTAAAATAAATGAAGATATTTGTTTAAAATATGAAAATATTTTCATAAAATTCTATTGAATCATAAGAACATATGTACAATTATATTTTCTATATATAGTCAGATGAGAAACCAAAACCCCAGCCAAGATCCAAGATACCAATAAACAACTATCAACTTCCGGATCTGCCAGCAGTGCCGACAGAAAACAATGATTCGCCCGCGAATTTATCCGTGAATGATGACATTGATTTTGATGACTTGATGAAACGATTCGAGGATCTGAAGAAGAGGAAGTAACGATTAATAGAGATAAAAGCAACGTATGTAAAACGTGTTATTTTGTTATCACTTTATCCTCGTAAGGTATTGTATTTAGTAGTGCCTTGTGCAAAGAGAAAAGGTCTAGGAAATTTATGTCAGTCTCTAAGCTTTTGCAATAAGGAAAATAAAAATATATAATTATGCTTTATCCACGAAGAACGTGTAATCAAACACATAAATTGTTATATTAATTAAATTAACGTGTTAATCTTTTTATCGTACATATATTCCATAATATATTATAATAAGTGAATTCTTTGTATTTTTAAAATTCATTCTCATAAAATTTTTTAAATATCCTTTATTTTATTATAATTAACTTTATTAATTAAAATTTTTATTTTTTGATACTAAATTAAATTTCTGTACTTATTATATATTTATATATTTTTTACATTTATTCTAAGAAAAGAGAAATTCTAAGATGTCCATATATTATTAATAACCCAAGGAGTACAAAATTGTACAAACGTTTCTACCATTGTTATGTACAATTGTTATGCACTAAATTGTAGTCCTTGAAAAATTTGTATACATACTTCCTTTCCTTTATCAATTAAACAAGTTAGGAGATTTTCCGAGAAGTAACATGCGTTCTGTCTCGCATCTGAATCCAAATAATGAAAACATTCTATGACAGCTTCCTCTATCAAATCCTGTAATTCTGGATTGTGTGTATTACGTGTCATAAACTGAATGATCGAGACTTGCTCAGGGTATCCCTTTTGATCTACCTATTAAAAAGTCAGAATTGAGAAAATCAGTCTAACTATCCATTAAGTTTTGAAATAGTCTGTATATTTACCATATTTAATTCATTGAAGAAACACTGGGTGATGCACTATAATAAAATTTAATAATACTTTATGTTAATATAAATTGTTAATTTATTGTATTGTTATCAGACATATTCTAAAAAAGGGGGTGGGGAGCTTAAAAGATTTCTATTGTGATGAAAAGACATATTACTATTGACTTGAAAATTAGTGGTTTAAAAAAGTATATACAATATTTTAGAATAATACTTATATAATACTTATTAATTATTAGAGAGAGAAAAAGAAAGAGAAAAACGATTTTCTGCATAATTTCTTTAGTTTCATAAGATTAGAGATCAGAAATGTTTAATCTTTGTGTACATAGTGACTTTGTGTACATAGTGACTTTGTGTACATAGTGACTTTGTGTACATTATGACTTCTGCATGTTGGACGCGGCAAAATGGTTGCATTCAGTAGAAAAAGCAGCTTTGTAACTGTTGTAAAATTCTTCGATATGATTAATTTATATATTTACATCCATCCAAGGAATCAAAAGCAAGAACCAATTGTATCGAAGAATTACAGAAGCCATTATTGCTACAGATGATGACTGCATTTCTTTTATTTTACATTTTTTTAAATATGAATTCAAAATATGAATACTTCGAGAAAACAATATGTATGTATTCGTAATTGGAGCTCTATTAATATAAAAAAGAATAATTAAAGTTGGCTCTTGAGACAAAAACTATAAACAATAAATGAAAAAATGGACAATTAAGAGCTTAAATTTGCGGTAATTGGAGCGATTATATCAACACATATTTCTCAATACTACATATATATAATAAATACCGAACATTTCGGCTTAATTCAAGCCATTTTCAGCAGTAAGTCTATAAAATCTCTTGATAAATAATTCGAGACATCTATTAATATATCTTACTTGTTCTTGTTGCTTGCCATTCTCAAAGTTGTCATACGTCTGATCATAGCTCGATCTACCAGCTCCATTGGAATAACTGAAATCACGAGTATTGCTGCTACGAGAAGAATGACTGCTTTTTCGGTTTCCGTTTGTATAACTAATGGAATAGCGTCAATCGTTAATAGTTTTTTCTGATCGTTTCTACGATTCCTTAATTATTACATAAATATTAAGTCAGCGATACACAATGCTTGTTTTCCTACTGGATTACTAGTTGGATTAGAATCTTGCCATCTCAATACGTACAGCAGCAAGAATCTAATCCAGTTAGCAATGATTTTAATATTTTTAGTTCTTATTATCTAATCATATCAGTTATTCGTGGATAATTATTTCATCTTGTTTCGCTACCGATTCTCATTAGGGTCTTTCCAAGATTGTATGTTGGAGAACTTGTTGCCGTCATTCATAATAAAGAACTTTGTACCAAACAAATCTACGCTTAAAGAGTCATCGCTATCGTCGCCTTCACTCGATGAATCATTATTGCTATGATTATCAGTTTTAGATCGTGCCTTGCAAATCTGCATAATCTTTTGATATTGATCGATCTGCATTTTAATGACTGCAAACATAAAAATTTGCTGAAAGAATTGTGTATTTTTAGTCTTAGCGATGCTATAATCTTCAAATCTCATAATGCAAAAAACTTGACGCTTAATTGACCGCCAACGAGATACTATTAAAGATACTATTGAGCGCTTAGTGATTCTTTAATCAACTTTAATGTAATTGGTTCCTACATTTAGATCCAGTGAAGAACTAAAGAAAAGATCCAATATATTAAAGAATTATTAAGCGCTAACCGATTAGTTTTCTCTGTTGCACAATAAATATCAGACAAAAGTTTACCATATCAAATACTGACAGCAGAAATCAAGCATGATATCTGATGTCACAATAGTCGCGTTCAGCAGAATGTTTGTTTTGCAACTGTTGAAACTTTTATCCATCCTGATTGAATTACATTTTATATCTAAAAGTATAATCCAATCAGCGCGAAGAAAACTTCAAACAGTTGCAAAATAAACATTTTACTAAATGCAAACACTGTGATAGCGAAAACGCGGCAAAACTACAATTTATACATATAACATTTATATCAAATAATAACAGCAAAAACAGCAAAAATTGAGCATTCAGCGAAATTCACTGAAAAGAATTTCAAAACGAAGAATAATTTCAGCGAAATTCCAACAAAATTTTTCTACTAAGGAAAATGGAGATTTCCATTTACAAATTTCAAAGTGATTTTTATGTGATCTTAACAAGATTCAAGATTATAATAACATCGCTAATGCATTACTTAAAATCTTACAACTTTTATGTATTGAATTATAGAAAAAGTTCTGCGGAATTTTGTTAGCTTAAAATTACACAGAATATATTTGTTACGAAATTTTTGATTATCTGACGTGAAGCTTAAAGTTTTTTCTAAAAGTTTATTTTTAAAAAATGTTCCTACGATTTTTTGTTACCAAGTTACACGCCGATTAAATAAAAGAGCATTCTGATTTTGATTTCTCATAACTCCGTTAAAAATTATCGTATCGTAATTAATAAAACAGATTCTAAAGCTGAAACGTTGCTCTATCAAGTGTGATGTAATTGCCAGTTTAAAAAAAAATAGAATATTGTGAACATTTGAGCTAAAAATGATATTACTGTTCTTTTTTCCATTGCGCAATGGTTATAAAGATTTCAGCTTTAAGAATTGATTTTTTTAATTGCAATACGATTTTTAATGGAGTTATGAGCAATCAAAATCAGAATGCTCTTTTTTACTTAACTTGCGAATAACTCAAGAATAAAAAATCGTAAAATATCTTTAAAAAACGATTTTGTAAGTAAAAACTTTCACGATATAGATAATCGAAAAAATTCGCAAATTTTTTTTGACACGTAATGAACTTACAAGATGAGAAGAAAAATTTCCCTTTTTTCAGCTCATAATTTTCTATATATAAAAATTACAAAACTCATATAAACTCAAAAAATATAATAACTATTTGAAAGTAGAGATTTCAAGCTTTTAAAACTCTTTTTTAAAATTTAAATTTTGATCATTTTTTACGAAAATATTTATATAATTTTGAGCTAACAAAATACCGCCAAACTTTTCGGCCGAATTCAGTAGAACATTTTTCTTAAATTTATTTTCGAATTATTTAATCAGTGGAACTTTTGGAATATCCTATTGTAATTTTAAAATATTTAAAACATTTATTGGATATAATATATAATAATAAATAGCACTATTTCACATTTTTTAAATTAGAAAATAAGTAAATACATTTTACACGATCAACAGATCTCTTTCAGTTACTTACATTCGCTGATTCTAACAGCAGCAAGCAAAGATTGCATAGAACAACAAAAATTATTCTTGTCACCATTTTCATGCGAGTTCTGTCCTTTCAAATGAACTCCTCACTTTTTCAACATGTATTTATGCAATAGCTTTAAAAATGCCTGTATCATCGGTGAGACAAGTTGATAGAAATAATTATTGCAAAAATATTGTTCCATGCCGCCGGATGGAGACACGCTCGACTACTCTTTTACAATTATTCCAATTACTGATCATATTGCCGTGACCGTTGTTATAAGTAAGTCCTTTGTGTGAGAAAATCACTGGATTGTTAAAAAGAAAAAGAAACAGAAAGAGGAAAAAGATCTGATCATGGGGAAAGTGAAAGCTTCGAAGGTATGTTCGAGCGATCAATTCTCTAGCAATTGTTCACCGAAGAAGATATAATGTACATCAAGTGCTTTGTAAGTACCTGTATTATTACCGTAAAACATCCTGCGAGAAATGTCTTTCAACGAAAGATGATTAAATTATAATATTCTTCTGACATAAAAATTGTATATACAAGAGATGAGAATACAGATCGAGGAAAGCAACAGATCACGAAAATGTGAAAGTGATTAAATTATATGTTATTATATGATAAATTTCTTGGTAAAAATTTTTCTTAGAAGTCTTCATATAATTTTCACAGTTTCTATATAAATTTTAGAACTTGATGTGTGTTCATTTCGAATGTTCATTTTGTATATTTTACCATATAAAAACTGAACCTGTAAAGATTAAAAAAAAAATAATGCAAGGTTTATGAAAAGCAGCAATTTAAAGGTGCAATTTTTCTATAAATTCTTAATCAAACAGATAATTAAAAATAATGTTCAATTTTATTACTTAAACTCTGATACTATAATAAAATATTAAAAAATGAGATTTTTTTCTATTTTTTTTGTTTTTTATGTATAGTAATAATATATATAATATAATAATAATATATTTTTCTGATATTATACTTAGCATTTTTCAATATACTAATAAAAAACTATCTAATCAACGAAATAGTTTTTAATTCTAATTATTTTTCATATTAAAATCTTAAAAAACATTAAGTCAATTAAATAAATTTCGAATGTTTCGAAAACGGAGCATATATTTATATGAATATTCTATTGTTATTGTCTGATGTAAAATCAATTACTGATCAAAAATAATAAACAAAATTCCTAAACAAATAACATTCTTTTGTATATCTTGCATTTTTAGCTCATGTTATACATTATTTTCAAATTTATTTTTTATTCGATCTATGTCTGTTCCATTTTTCTTATTGTCCTTATTATTTTTATCTCTAAATACAATTCGATGAAATTTCATTAATTTCGGTCCTTTATAGGATCGAAAAATCACTATTAAAGTGGCACTGAAACAATGTCATCTTTTGAGATAAGAAATAAAATAAAAATAATGAATTATAACAAATCTTATTCAAAGAAAAATAATTAAGATTTTAAAAATAAGCCTCCGTTCTCTAAAGATTAATTCTTAAAAGAGATATTATTATAGTATCTAGAAATAATAGAATTGTATTGTAAATAAAAGAATAAAATTATAAGAAGCTAAACTTCTTTAATTATCTATGCTTTTTTTCGTAGTTTCTTCTAAAACTTTTTTCACTCGCGATTACGTTGCCAATATATGACGATAATACAAATGGAAAAATCACACCGATACATACAAGTAATATTTCGACAATTTATTCCGATACGATGTTGAAAAGGATATCAGACCAATCACCAGATGGAAGTCGAATAGATTTTCAAATAAGGAATCATCGAGGACCAGGAACATACGTATTCGGTTTTGATACTGGACATGGGTAATATATACATTGCTCTGCCATCATTAACTATATTAATTATCGCGTATATAAAACCAATAAATCGATTAAGGAAAATTTCATAAAAATTTTCAAGAAAATGATTGAAAAAAGATCAAAATACATATATAACTCGTAGAAAAAATAGACGGAAGCGTCAAAGGTCGATATGGTTTTTACGATGCAAAAGGAAACCTCAGAATTGTGAACTATATAGCGGGCCCCGCTGGTGGTTACCAAGAACGCCATCATGAAACCATCACTTACAAATCTGAAACTTAACGCACGTATCTCAAATACTTTTCAAATAAAACTAATTCATGTATACCTATATCAGACATTTTACATTCAATAGAAAATAATTACTGCTGAAATAGATTGTAAGTTATACAAGTTATATAGTATTTAACAAATCGGTATAGAATTGGCTCATCGTTGTCACATCTTTGTAAAGTTTTTTTTTACGGTGATTATACTGACAAGAGGTGACCAGAGGTACACTAGATGATGGAGTCGAGGATTTTTATGCGCTTTTTACAGGCTGTTCTTGAGCGATTTAAAAAAAAGTAATACGTGTCCGGCCGTTTCAGCCATTGGTCCATAGTTTCGAAGAAATCGATTTTTTAAATAATTATTGTAATAATTTGAAAAATGTACTGTATAAATGAAAATATCTGTATTTTTATAAATTTTATTTAATATTATTAATTTTAATTACTTTTTGATTGTAATGAAATTTCATGAAATTACATATTAGTATTATAGATAATAATTAAATATTCATTTACGGAATATTTATATTAGGTGTAGTAAAAAGAAATCCATTATTTTTCCAATAGATGGCTTTAGTAATCTGTATCTCGTCTATGCGTGATACAGATTACTAAAGCCATCTATTGGAAAAATAATGGATTTCTTTTTACTACACCTAATATATTATTATCATGGTTATCGTCGTCGTTATTATTATTCACATGAACGTATAAATAAGATTGTAATGAAAACTGTTACAGTTTCTTATGAAATTAGAAATTGGAAATTATGATTAGGAATAAATAAATTATATGTTTGTAATCTTCTTTTAATTGATATTAATCGATTTATTAATAATAATAGAAAACTAATCGTATTTTGTAGACGTACATTGTATGGGATTATATAAATTATAAAAACAAGAAAAACACATAAATATTTATAGCATTGTGAACATCTTACGAATGAATTTTAGAATGAATTTCATTTTAGAATGAAAAATTTGATTCTTATCAAAATTGATTCCTGAAAGAAGCTATTTTCATAATGTCAATCAAATCTTCTGCTTTCCGTTAGATATTAGAAAAAGTTATTGTGTCTGCAACAAAAATTCATTCGTAAGATGTTCACAATGCAATATAAATATTTGTTTTCTCTTCTTTTTATAATTTATATTTCGTACGTCTACAATGTACGTCTACACACAAAACACGATTATTTTCTATTATTATTAATAAATCGATTAATATTAATCAAAAGAAGATTACAAACATATAACTTACTTGTTCCTAATCATAATTTCCAATTTCTAATTTCATAAGAAACTGTAACACTTTTCATTACAATCTTATTTACGTTCATGTGAATAATAACGATGACGACGATGATAATAATATTAGGTGTTGGAATTAATTCGTAGCGTTTTACAAGTGATGGGAAGTACTTTCATTAATGTATTTTTTAATGCTCATGTGAAATAAATAACATTCTTTCATTAAAAAACGCTACGAATTAATTCCAACACCTAATATATAAATATTCCATAGAAAAAAAATGAATTCCTGATTCACGTATATTTTTATTCTTGAATGCTATTTACTTTTATTTAAATATAAAATGTTGTTAATCGGAAATTGTTTATTCTTGGCTATTCTAAACATAAAATATTCTTGGATAAAAACATTTATGCATTTCTTTAAGAATTCATTTTTTTGTTTGTCTATAAATAAGTATTTAATTATTATCTATAATACTGTAATGTCATGAAATTTCATTATAATAAAAAAATAATTAAAAGTAATAAAATTAAATAAAATTTATAAAAATACAGATATTTTCATTTATATACGTTTTTCAAATTATTACAATAATTATTTAAAAAATCGATTTCTTCGAAACTATGGGTCAATGGCTGAAACAGTCGGATACATATCGTTTTTTTTTCGCTCAAGAATAGCCTGTAAAAAGTGCATCAAAGTCCCCGACTTCATCATCTGATATTCTTCTTGTGAGTCAAATTAACATCAAATTATTTAATGCAAATTGATGTTGCGAACTAAAGCTATTATTTAATGCAAATTGATGTTGCCAACTATCCATCTGATACGGACAAAAAAATATGAAATATACTTTGAACATTATAGAATATGTTTTATTAATGTTAACGTTATGATTAAAAAAAATCTTCATTTTTAACTTTTTTAAAATTTTACGTTAAAATTTTTAAGTGATATTTCTAAAATGTGATACTTTCAAATAAAACACATATCCGATTCATTGCCGATTTCTGTAGAATGTGCATTTTTTCAAGAAAAAAATCTTAACTTGTGGCTTGAAAAAATTTTAATTGATTTTTTTCAAGAAAAAAATCTTAACTTGTGATTTGAAAAAATTTTAATTGATAAGACCAACCTTTATCTAGGTATGTTTCCAACACTGATCAAAGTTTATACGGCTCGATTTATGTCAAAATTATAACATCGATGTTATAACTATTGATATTAGATGCTATGTAAATTACTTTACGACGAAGTTACTACATTAATATAATAATTTCATCGTAAAATATCGTTAACAGGGCATCTAATATCAATAGTTATAACTTCAGAATAAATTGGGCCGTAAACATGATTTATAACGTTATAGAGATAAAAGATAGTCTTGGTGATTCTGTGCACTAAAGTAGATTTGTCTGTTTCTACCAATGTAGAAATACTTTAATTTCGATTCTTGCACTCTTCATCTTTTTCTAATGCTTGAAACTAGAAAAAGATGAAGAAACAGTTGAACCAAGTTAGTTAAAACTAAACTACTTTGGAAGACATTAATAATCGAAGCAATCACAGACAGTTGAACACATTGATGATGTAATTTTGCAAAATGGAATTAATAGATAATAACAGAATCATTCTCATATATAATGATAAAGTTAAACACATATGATAATAAGGCAGAAATTAAATTAGCAACATTTTTTAAAAATACAATGAACCTTTTAAAATTGCGAATTAATTTCATCATTGAAATATATGTATATAAATTCTAAAATTGTTTAACATCCTACATTGTTTACAAGGGTAACACAGCTAGATAAGACAGCTTAACAAGGGTATCTATAAATACTTATATTTACTGTTAATAAATTACTGGAAGTTAATATTTCTCTGATGCTGAATCCATTGCGCATGTGCAAAAAATTGGATTTTTATCGGAACACTGAAGGCATTTTATATAAATAACTGTTGCCTATGATTGGGATTAAATCGTTTATTTAACAATAACAATTGCTATATACGAAAAAAATAACGCAAAAAAGATGTAAACGTCATATAATATATAATACCAATTATATATATCCACACGCACGTACGCATACACACACGCACACACATATATATACACACGTATATGTGTATGTATATACAAGGTCCTGGAATCAAAATATCACAAGAAAATTTTAGAAAAATTAAATAAAAAAGTTATGTATACAATTTTTATTTTAAGTAGTTTTTGAAATTTGAAAGGTTTTAAATGTAACCAATTATAGCTTATATTTAGACAGTCACCTGTTCATGAATCGAGTGTATGGTACCATTATAGCGTTTTTCTTTGGCTACACTAGTACATTTATAGCGTTTTCCACTATGAAAAGTGATGCAACACCAGCGCTGAGCTAGGTTTCGATGAAAACTGCACTAATAGTGCAATAATAGTGCAAGTTTAGTGCGATTCAATGGATATCACAAGATATTCATATTTAACACCCCTAAAAATATATATAACTATGTCAAATTTAAATATTACTTGTTTTACAATATTCTGATTCATTTATCTATTTAAGACATTTTTTTTTAATTAATTTTTTACGTTTGAAGAGTTTTAAACGTCAAAATATTATTGCGTAACTATTATTAGAAATATCAAAACTAATACAATGTTGTTATGACATTAATTAGAATAATGTAATATTATAACATAATATCATACTTTAGCACAATCTCAATTTCAACTTGCATTGGTGTCCACTGACTTTAAACTTTCACGGTGGAAAAAAAGTTGAACTCAGTGCAAGTTTTTGCACCAGTTTCATCAATGGAACATTAAACACTAAAAAAATATGTGAACTGGTTTTCACAGTGGAACAATAAAATTGCACTCAGTATGCACTAGTATTGCACTAGTTCTCCCAATAGGAAACGCTATTAGACAATGTAGCATGTTTCCATGGCTGATCGTAGGCGAACTCATTTGACGTACCATATTTCCGTGACTACGGTGTAGTGCAAGCACGAAGTGAGATTTTGTTACACCATCTCAACAAAGGGATGATGTAGAGCCAGTGTGACATTTAAAATTTGAAAATGAAAGTCAACCGGGAGCAGGAAGACTTCACCCAGTGCATCTCAAGGAAAAACATTATTAATAAATGTGCACTTCAGCGTTCAAACGCAATTGGTCCATATTTAAACTATTATTATTTCACAAAACTATTGCTTAAAATAAAAATTTACAAATAACTGTTTTACTTAATTTTTTAGAAACTTTCTTAATGTTGTGTTTTTATTGTATTTAAATTTTGGAATACTCTGTATATTGAGTAAGTCTATGTGTTAAATATTTAATCCATACAGAAAACGCATTTGTTGCACGTGCGCTTGAGCGCACTGAATGAATTACACAAGAGTATAAATCAAATATATATGTATCTGTCAAATATATACGTAATCTTCTTTCTTGTCATTCTTTTCATCCAAATCGTATAATCGTATAATCTGTTTCTTCGATCCTTGTTTTGACACTTCTATTTTTTTTACGAGAATCATCTCTCATAAAGCAATTGCTTTGAAATTATTTGTCCTTTTTTGTATCCTCCGTACCATACGATGAACTCTTGCTTATTTCCGACATTCCGAGAGTTTTGTACATTAGCATATAAACTGTAATTTAATTTGTTCCGTTTAAAATGATACAACATTTAAAATGAATTGAGGTATCTTTTATAATTTAATGACATTGTACAGGATGTTCCAGACAGAATGATATTCGCCAAATATTTCATGTGCTGATAGAGCGGACTAAAATTGAGTCGAAAAGTTCTCTACCATTTTACAATTTTCGCAATAGTTAACAAGATATTAATTACTAAACATCAGCTGAATATTGGTTTTTAATATTTTTTTACTCAAGTACTATCAACTTTACAGAAAAACAGCAAGTGACAAAATTTGTTTATTTTCTTCTCATAAAGTTCTGAGG